AACACCGGTGTCTAGCGCGGGGGCAGGGGAAGGGCGGAAACATCGAGTGGAGGGGTGGGGCAAGGGGAGGGAAATATGATGGAGTACCTAAAAGTTTGATGCAAAAACGCATGATCGCACCGGCTCGCCTGGTGCATTCCAGCCTGGGTTTTTTGTTGTTTTCCCGTTTACTTTGTCAGTTCTGTTTTTTTCTTTATGCTTTTTATGTGCAGAGACACGGATTTTATGCGCCTCGAAATTATAAATAAAGGGAGGACCAAAGAATGATACTTTATTGACAGTTAAGTTATACAGCAATCGTTTTGTGCAGACCGTTTTCCAGAAATGTTTCAACACTCAGTCAAAGCCGCCGCCCACTTCCTCGTCCTCAGTGCACACAGCTGCTGCGAAAACTCATTTGCAAAATTCATGTATCTAGGACTTTGATTTACATAAGCTGCTCGGTGGCAACACCCCCGTAAGCGCAAACGTTCCAAATACCAAGTAAATTGATTGAAATATGGACTCGTCTGATGCATTTTGGCTTTGTCTGAGTACAGAAAGTACCGCTGTAGTACTTTAGTGCGCTGTGGAGAGGCACCGACAGTGATCTCTATGGCCATGATTTTGAGAGAGAGTCTGCAAAACTTTTGCAATTGCCTCTCTACTTCGATTCCTTGGGCTGATCTGTATCCTGTTTGTCCCTTTTTGTTAGGCTTTTTGCAGCTAGATATAACAGTCTGATCCTAAATTTTCGACCGCTTCAAATCATTGTGATAGCCCGATGAACGCTCTGTAGCCTTTCTGCGGAGTTGTACCGGGTTTTAAATGATCCTTTAGACCTGTATAATTCAGTAAACGAATTACAACCAAAAAAAGCTTGATTTCATAACTCACAGCGCCTAATCTCACAGCTCATTGAAATGAATTTGTCTCATAAAATCAAAATTTGTAGCTGAAAAGCCTCAACTTTATATGGAATAAGTCAGTCTAAGAATGTATCGGAAGATATATCGGGAAGGACAACATTCACATTGGTATGGATGGTACTGTGTTTTTTGTGAGGTTCTTGACGCTGATATTTTCCGGTTTATTTTTCGTTCCAAAAATTTAGAGGGATAGAGAAACGAAACAGTATCGAACTGCAACTTGCAAAAGGGCCTGACTTCCAGGACTGGACAGACTCATGCATGACTGAAAAGAATGCTTTACCTCCTCCCGCATCTTCTCCCAGCTACGCTACACTCCTTTATGGAGGAATGGGGGAACAGCAAATCCATGAGGATCTGTCCATCTGTGTGTCTGTCTGGCCGTTATTCCGGGGTCATCATTGATTAGCGCTCCATCTCGTTTCAACTGGTAGATATGTTTGCATGGTTGGGAGGAAATGCAGTTTCTTTGTATTTTGGAGTGCTGATTGTACGTCGAGGGACAAATAAATATTCGTCGTTCTGAGCCTCATCGCTGATGTCGAGGTACTGAGGAACAAAGCCCCCAAAAGGACGATGTGAGAAGTCCCTTCTGTAGCACATTAGCACGCTCTTGCTCGTTTGGCTCAATTCTAGTATTGGAAGAGCCGTCCAAGGGGAGGGTGAGAGCTAAAGAGGGCGTATTCGTTGGCCATCAGTGTTCGACCCTGCGCCGGTTCTCGCTGCTCTCCCTCCTTCCCTCAGCATGGCTGCAGCAACATATTGGGATCCGTATACTCAACCAGCTATCTATCCCATCGCACTACTCCTCCTTGTTTTCAGTATTTCTGGAGTCTCTTCGTTCTTTTTTTGCATTCCACACCACCTCCTTGAATGTTGGCACATAAGACGCAACTCACCGATGGTGATTGCACTGGTCAGTTATGGTCGTGGCAGTGGGTTGGCGTAAAATAGTCTATGGCCCAGCTGTCACGTTTGGAGTTTGGTTTATAAGTGCAATTTGAAAAACCACCAGTTCTCGGATTGTTTCGTTGCAGAAGTGGTACTAGTGCGCTATGTGTCTGTGTACTCCCATTGTTTATCAACAAACAGAATGACTAACATTTGCGTTGTTCGTTTTCCACTCATTGAAGGCATACGCTGTTATCAGTCAGGAGGTACTGGAATTCTGCATTCCGCTTTCTCTCGAGCAGCGATGATATGGTAATAGTGCTGTTAGGGCCAGAGCGAAGTACAGTGAAATACAAGACACTGGGGTGCTGAAGAAGGGAATGGTGGACAGTGGATGAAAAGCATAGTGTTTTCCGATAACTCTGAGCGTCTACCCCTTTTCTACAGAACTGAAGCAGTTTTTTCTCTGTCACTCTCGGTAATGTCTCAGTGTTCCGAAAAAACTCGCTGCAGTTGGTTATATACGGTAATCCATCGGTTTCATTCATCTGTTGCTGCAGTTTGCACAGGTGATTCGTTTTTATTTAGACACAAAGGCGAGGAGAGGAATGGTGACTACACACAAGAGGAAATTGTTTCGAATGCAGTGATGAGTAAAATGCATCTAGAATTTCAAAAACTTTTTGATACAGTTGACTGTGTTATTTGTACTGCTCATTCCTCAAGCACCACCGCCAGACTGTGTTCTAATTTATTGCTTCCAACTTTCGACTCGAGTTCCCGATTTGAGTCATTAACGGCTGGAGGATAAGCGCATTTGGCATTAGGAATAGTTCAACTAGCAGCTGTTGCTCCATTTTATCATTTAAAGACTCGATAAATTTCACAGAAGCATTACTATTACTACTGAGATAGTCAGCTACGATACGCTCAGTACTCTCGTTCAAAGTGCGTGAAATCGAATGAAATATTGTTTATTGCCTGTTTCCATGGGATCGTTTTTGAATGAGTTTTTGCTCTTATGCTAAGCAGTGGCAATGAGAAGAATACAGCATTACAAAAAGTAGTATCAGATTTGAAAATACCGTGTATAATCTTGACCTTGCCTTTTTGCATAATTGATGCAATCCAGAACTCAGTGTATTTATGTATGTGCGTGTGTGTATTTGTGTTTGTGTGTATGTGTATGTGTGTGTGTTTGTGTGTGTGTGTGTGTGTGCGTTCGTGCGTGTACGTGTGTGTGCATGTGCATATGTGTGCGCGTGTACGTGTGTGTGCGCCTGTGTTTTCGTGTTTTGTTATCCACTTTTAACTCCGTAACCAGAGCAGCCGAGAAGCTAAATTTTATGAAGACAAAATCGACTCGACTCCATAAGCATAAAATCAACTCTTACAAACTTATAGCTCTTATGTGCGATTCCTGGAAGAAAAATTGAAAAGTTTTGGCTGGCAACTTACGTATGTGCAAATAAAAATTCAGTTTGAGATGACGCTCGCTATTTAACTTGGTATTCAGACTGAGCAGGATGCTGCGTTTTTATGAGGATATTCATTCTCCATATGCGGCCTATAAGCATAAAATAAACTTTTACTTGCACATGCGCTCTACATCTGGACAAGCCATACGTTAAAATTGCAGTTCTGCTGTCATCCTTCTCTCTCAGTAATCAGAAGGCAAAAAAGCTGAAATTTCATGGAAATGCTAATATGTCCTTTGCCGACAAAACCCACAACTTGCGTAAGGATATGGCAAACTTCAGGTTGCAGAATTGTCGGCATCCTCTTCCTCTCGCCTCAGGGCAATCATGCAGGCCAGAAATTAAATTTTACGGGGCCCTATGGTAGCAGCCGACACCTCGATCCCTTCCCCGCTCCGCTCTTTGCTGTGTCTCTTTGACGTGCAAATAAAGACTAGCAGTAACATTTTCAGCATGAGTTCATCTGTCAAACTGTAAAACAACGGCTATTCATATTGTTAACGACCTGACTGCATCACAGTACCGCGTGAAACATGCAGTCGAGCCAGCAATCTTGGTGCGCCCTGCTAATCATCTGAATGGCTGTTGTGTTTGTAGATAGAGTTGAAGTGCAGGCGTGCTTCGGGTAGTTTCGCTGTTTTGATTGCTTATTCATTGGTTGTTTTAGGCAGAAAGAATGATTCTGAAGACGGCTGTATTCAGACAATTACAATTCATTTCGCATCTTCACATTTTTCTGTCGGTGGTGCTGCTTAAGCGATATTCCACAACTCACTGACCAATCATCATGCAGTCAACTGACCGTCGCTGTTACTTATTCGTTTGGTCAGGAAGCTAATCATTTTTGCAAAATACCACAAATATTTGAATGTATTCTTCTAGCGTTTCGCTGCGGTGCAATTCAAGCAAAGAAAAAAATTCGGCCTCGCTGTCAGCTGTTTTCAGAGTTTCCCATGTGATTATTTTGATTAGTTTGATGCATCGGATCTATAACAGATTTACAACTGGTTCATGCAAACGGCTGATTGCTTGCTTACACGATTTTTTCAGAATCAGTGATTAGTTTTATTGTCTAAAAAGTCCTTTTTTCTGCTGAACCTTGTTATTTTCCTCAGCGCTTCCTGTTATCAACTGATTCTTGACATCGTTTCTTCCCCCTCCAAACTTTATTGAGGGAAACGGTCGATTTTAACAGATGGTTTGTACGTTTCGAGCCCGTGTAAACCAGCTTTGGTCATTATGGTACACGGTGGTAATGGTACTCTTGCAAACATACCTGCTGTATCTTGGCTTTGAACGGTATCGCCTGTATTCGGAGATGAAATGGCCTCACGGGGCGTATCCACGTCTGTGGCTAAGTGTCTATGTTGTACTGTATTCGCTGTGCATTCCCGGTTTGTTACTGTTTATGGCATTCGGGATATTCAAATCTGGCAACATTGCTGGTGATAATGATCGGCTTGGCGCACGGGTCGATCGAGTAATTGAAATCACCCAAAAATCAAACCGCTATGGAAGAGGTAATTAATGTGGAAATGTAAAATAAATAAAAATAGATTGATCGAACAGCAGCGTTATCAAAATCAGTGAATATTCTTACTAAAATCGCTGAAGCAGTCTAATTTGAACAATTATAAAATCGATGAATGTCAAAAGATTCTAGTAGTCAAAAACCAAAAATAAGTAGCCGACAAATAAGTAGACTACAGAGCAGAATCTGAAAAAAAAGCTAGGTGAGGACGTCCACACAAATTTGGTAGGTTTTTGAAGCTCGAACAATCCTAAGCTTTTTTATCCTTATTCTGACTGCGGAAGGATGCTTTTTAAATGTGAACAAGCAGTGAAGCGAAACCAAAATCTTTCGCTAATTACGTAATAAAAAATCATCGACGCTGAGCAAAAAGCACCGGAAATTCTAGACGCATTCATCTTCTTTGATGCAGAACGTATTTTTTTCTAATGGTCCGAATTAGCTTGTAAACACTTTATTACTGAAAAGCCCGTAAGTCTAACAGTCATTATTCGGACATAAGATTTTTATGCTGTGAAAGGGAGCAAGTCGATGGTATTTCTTCCACCTTTTTTAAATGCCGCAGAATAATAGACGTGATAATGCCAGGAAAATTCATCATGCAACGAAATTAGGAAAAAAAAAGCGAAAATTGCAAAAGGCGAAATAAATCACAGGAAATTTGTGAAGCAGATACATAATCAGCAAACCGGATCAAAGGTCTACTGCAGTCTTGTGTTTTCGCAAGATGAGTTTAGGCGGTAAATGAATGCATTAGCATGTGCAAAAAATTGGTCATTCTGAGCTCCGATAATAGCTAAGCTACACTCATGGAAGTAGCCCGTAATATGAATTTGTGGTTTGGCCCTCGCTCGTGTAGAATAACTTCTATCTTGTTTGCGCCTGAGATTGCGGTTAAGATGCTTTGAGGTGGGAAAGCTTAAATTATTCGCTTTGCGCTTTGCTAAGGATATGAAGTCCGTCCAGACATTCGTTGTGGGAACCCCTTGATTTCTATGCTCTTTATGCGTTTTTTGCATCTATACAATGCAAAAACACATACTGTCAAGAGGTTGTCTGTGTGTGCGTCTGCAACAAGTTTTCATCTCGAGAGCCACAAAAGCTACAAGGCTGGAACTGTGGTAGCTTAATCTACGTGTACGTGCGACCCTCTATCCTGGGAACGGAAGCTTATGACTGCGTGATTCTCACGCAGGAGCACGTGAAAGTCTTTTTGGCGGGAAAGTGTTTTTGGGGACGGCACAAGCTAGGAGGCTGAAACTTCACAGAGATATTCCCTGGCCGTGTCTAATCCAAAGATTTCAAATTCAGCCTTCATACACCCTTAGGTCTCACGTACACACACGTCAAAGTTTAAACTGGCATCGTGCCAACCCCAGATTTAAGCTAAAAAGCTGTAAGGGCCTGCAATTTTGCAGCGTTACTTGCCGCCCAATGTTGTGTTCGTGAAAGGAAATTGAGCTTCCCAGCTGCTTTGTATCTTACGTACGGACACGTGAAAATTTTATGCCTGCACAGAAATGAAGCAGCTAGAGGACTGGAATTTTCTGAGTATAACCGACAGTGGACTTTGACCAGATCGGCGTAGAAATGACTTTTTCGTCCTTTTCATGTCTCACGTATGCCCCATGTACACGCACGTGAGATTTGACATAATTTCGCAATCAAAACAGCTAAAGCGCTGAAACTCTCTGGGCTTGACCCAGGGCGCTGTTTGAGCAAATGCACGCGAAGGCAGCATTCATGTTGCCACCTACGTGAAATTTGACGTAACTTCGCAATCGGAGCAGCTGAAGTGCTGAAATTTTCTCAGCGTGGCCTAAGACCGTCTTTGAGCAAGCGTATGCGTTAACAGCATTGACATTGCCACTCACGTACGGACGTGTAAAATTTTGACGTAACTCTACAGTTGGAGCATTTAGAGTGCTGAATTTTTTGGGCGTGAATTGGGGCCATTGTAATATTTCCCAACAGCCGTGATAGCCACTCTCAGTTTTCTTAGTCGGAAGCATCTGCCGGGAAAATCAATACCATTAACGACAAAAACCTGCGGGAGGACTGTACAAAAAACGCATCGTCACACCGACAGTTGGTGCGCTATGGACTAAGTTTGTGTTGCATGCAGGGGCACTGAAACAATGTAAGCTTTTTAACAATGTATTAGTATTTCGAAGGGAATAAAAGGCTGAAGAATTCTGTAGCGACGTGGGATGCTGCTTTGCTAATTTAGTCCATACAGGGTGTTGCTTAGCTTCTCTTTTGCTCATTGAGGCATCAGAGCGTTTTGCGTAAGCCAGAAAGTCGTGGCTCATGCGAGGATACTTTTTCGCGCTGAGTTTTGTCGCATTTACACACAGTGAGTGGGAGCGGGTTCAGATGATAACTTTGAAATAATAGTATTTTAAAATGAGCTAATCACTACCCCGTATGGATTAAATCTTCTCAAATGTAATCAAGCGGAATGTGGTTCTGGATCACAGCAGTTTAATGGCGGTAAATTTCGGATCAGATGTGCAGTAATTGTTTTTTCGCGTTTTTGCCTATAAGCAAATTGCAAAAAAGCATATTGCGACGACCCTGTCTGTGTGTATATGTGCGTGTGTGTATGTTTGTGTGTGTATGTTTGTGTGTGTATGTTTGTGTGCGTATGTGTGTGTGTTCGTCTGTCCGGGTATTTCACCTCGGCAACCAAGCAAGTTCCAGCGCCAAGGTTTTGCTGGTAGGTTCCCCGACCAAGTGCCACTCCAGAACCGCGGTGCCAACCCTTACGCAAGTCTGGGCTCCGCGTACGAAGGAGTGGGAGTTTTGGCGGGAAAATTGGTAACTCGGGAACGAGAAAAGATAGAAAGCTGTAATTCTGAGGTTGTTTCCCGTCCGAATATAATTCAAAGACTTCAAATTCACCCCCCAGGTGTGCATGCTTCCCGCGTACAGTTCCGTGAAATTTTTTAGCGGGAAAATGGCTAACTCGGGAACAAGCAAAACTGGGAGGCTGAAATTTTCGGGAAATGTGCCTAGCATAAGTACAAAATAAACCTATCAAATTTAGCCCCCAGTCGTATGTGGTCCTCGCGCACGGCTCCGTGAAATTTTTTGGCGGGAAAATGGCTGACTCGAGAATTAGCAAGGTTGGGGGGCTGAAATTTTCAGGGGATGTTCCCAGCCCATGTACGACTTAAGTTGTCGAATTCAGCCCCCAGGCATGCGCGGTTCTCACGTACAGTCCTGTGAAACTTTTTTGGCTGGAAAGTGGCTAATTCGGGAACCAGAAAAGCTGGAAAGCTGAGATTTTAAAGGAATATTTCCGTCTGAATACAATTTAAAGGTTTCAAATTCAGCCTCCAAGTACGCGTGGTTTTCGTGTACGGGCACTTAAATTCTTGACAGGAAAATTACCTATGGAACAGCTGAATCATTTTCAAATAAAAGAATGACCGCTAAACGGAAATTGTTTATTTCCTTTTATGCAAAATTTACGATGATTTACGGTATTGAGCGCACAAGGTAGGTGTGAAGAAACAACCGCTCATGCAGTTAACCTAATTGCTTCAATTTTGGTGCGAAAATGCATGATCGCACCGGCTTGGCTGGTGCATTCCGGCCTGGGTTATTAATGGACTGGAAGTTTGTCACATCGATTTTGGTGGATTTTTCAAAAAAAGAAATATCAACCGAAAACAGGCTTACTATCGTCACTATCGGTTTAGAATTCTTTTTAAACGTTTCCGGCGTAATGATCATATTCATGTTTACAGGAGGCTGTTCGCCATTACGATGTTTGAAGTCACTATGGCAGCATGCGCCTCCATTACCTCAGTTTATCCACCTACTCATATCATTGTTGCAGTTGTTCGCCCAGCAAGCAATGCTGTCACAGCTCTACCGATATGGCTTCATTAATTCCGGTGAGTTTATCGTGCTAGCATTGCTTATTTTATCAAATATTTGATTCTTTTACAAGTGACATTCACTGTTTACCCATCAACTTTATCGCGGTAGTATTTTTATGCGTTTTTGCTGTGCAGCGCTACAGCCAGCAAAAACGCATTTTGTCGAGAAGCTGTCTGTGTGTGTGTGTTTGTTCGGAAAGCGAGTGCATTTTGTCACCCATTTTCAACTCGGCAACCAGGAAAACTGGGGAGCTGAAACTTCGGACATATGTTCCTACCTCGTGTGTCTTCCTCCCGTTTTAAGATCTTCCTCCATACGCGCCTAAACCCCACTTACGA